GGCGTTGTCAGTACCAGATCCAGACCGGTCCTCGCCGCGGCTTCGTTTGCGGTAAGATCGGTCACTCCACTCCCCGCTGCTTTCGTCGCCTGGACGACCTCTTTCGTCAGCGTTTCGGCCCGTCGCCAGACCTCCCGGACTGGCACAGTTTGCTTAGTCGTCAGATTCAGATCTTTGATATGGACATGGATGCCATTGTTTCTGCTCTGCATGTGATGTATGCTGATGACTCTAGTGTGCTTCCGACTTATTACTCACTGTTGCCTAGTGTAGGTGTGCCTAGCTTAGCCTCCCCTGCTGCGTCAGGCGTAGGATCCCCTGCTTTGTGTAGTCTTGGTGCTTCTGCCGTCGTTCCATCGCCAGACCCCTCGGATTCGCTTTCCTTCACCCTGGACTCTGGCGCCTCTCGGTGTTTCTTCCGCGACTCCACCACCCTGACGCCGCTTCCTGTTCCTGCTGCCGTTTCTCTTGCTGACCCCTCCGGCGGTCCGGTAGTCGCCCGCAGTTCCACCACCCTTCCCTGTCCGGCGGTTCCTTCGGGCTCTCTTACAGGTCTGCATATCCCCTCGTTCTCCAGGAACCTAGTCGGTGTCGGCTGCCTCCAGGACCTTGGCGTCACCACTACGTTCCCTGGTCACGAGCGGTATGCTGTCTGTACCGAGGCCGCCACTGGTGCCCCCCTGTCCACGTTCCCCCGGGACCCGGTGTCCGGCCTGTTCACTCTGGACACCGTGCCCCCCCCGGCTGGAGCGCCCCCTCAGGTGGCTGTGTCTTCCCAGGTTGCTGCTGCCTGCTCCTATCGGTCCCTCACTCACCCAACCCTCCTATGGCACCACCGCCTAGGTCACCCTGCGCTCCCGCGTCTGCGTCACATGTCCCAGCACGGTCTTGTCCTTGGTCTCCCAGGTTCACTCCCCGCGTTTCCCTCCTCCCCAGCTCCACCTTGCACGCCTTGTGTCGAGGGTCGGCTTCGCCGTGCCCCTCACTCCTCCTCGTTCCCCCCTACCGCCGCGCCGCTGCAGACCCTGCACCTGGACGTCTGGGGCCCCGCCCCCGTCCCTGGGCCGCGTCGCGAGCGCTACTTCCTTGTGCTTGTCGACGACTTCACTCGTTACACCACAGTCTTTCCCCTGGAGCGCAAGGCCGACGTGCCTGGCGCCCTCATCCCCTGGCTTGTCTCTGCGCGTGTCCACCGCGGTCTCCCTGTCTTGCGTCTTCACTCAGACCGTGGTGGCGAGTTTGCCTCAGGTGTCCTTGGTCGCTTTTGTCGTGCGGAGGGCATCACCCAGACGTTCACCCTACCAGACTCCCCACAGCAGAATGGGGTCGCTGAGCGACGCATCGGTTTGGTCATGGAGGTCGCTCGCACCTCCATGGTCCATGCCGGTGCACCCCATTTTCTGTGGCCGTTCGCTGTGCGCTACGCTTCTCACCAGCTTAACCTGTGGCCGCACCCTCAGCAGCCGCAGGTTTCGCCGACCCGTCTTTGGACTGGGTCTCCTGGTGACGCGTCTGCGTTCCACGTCTGGGGCTGCCTTGCTCACGTCCGTGCCTCCGGCACGGACAAGCTCACTGCCCGCACCCTTCCCTGCGTCTTCCTCGGTTTTCCCCTTGACGCGTCCGACTGGCACTTTTACCACCCGCCGTCTCACCGCTTCTTTCACTCTCGTGACGTCACCTTTGACGAGTCCGTCTCCTACTACCGCCGCTTCCCCCACCGTGGTCCCCCGGTTACCCCCCCCTATTCCTGGTCACCCCTTCCCCGGTAGTCCCTGCCCCTCCTCCTCCTCCTCCCCGTCCCGCCCCCTCTGGTGTCTCCCACGTCACCCCCCTTCCGTCCGTGGACCCGGTTGAGGAGTCTTCTGACTCTGGTGACCCTCCGGTGCAGTCCTCGCCGGCCGCCCCTCCCCAGGTGTCCCCCCCCCGGTCCCCTCCTCCGCCACCCCTGCCGCCGCTGCAGCCGTCGCCGTCGCCGCCGCCGTTGCCGCCGCCGCCGTTGCCGCCGCCGCCGTCGCAGCCCCCGTTCGCTGACTCTGGGGGTGCTCGTCCCGGTCGCCCTGAGGGTGGTCCCTCTGGGGGTGCGGGTGTGGAGAGTGCCGGTGGTAGCCGAGGAGCAGCTTGCGGTCCAGGTGTCGCCGTTGTGCCGCCGCAGCAGCAGTCCCCGCCGGTGTCCGCCCTTCGCCTGCTCGGCCTTCCGTCCCCCGACCCTGCGTCGGTTCCTCCCCGACCGTCTCCTCCTCTTCCTGTCTACGGCCTTGTTTTCCCTCCGCCGGACTCGTCCTCGGCCTGTCTCCCCCCTCGTTCCCCTCCTGTTTCCCCTCCCCTGTCTCCTGACCCGACTCCTCCGTCGCACGTCTGGTCTCACCGTCCCTCTCGTGCTCGTCCTGCCTCGCCTGTCTTGCGCTCCCACCCTATGTTGCTTCGTTCCCACGCGTCTCGTCCTCCCCTTCTGCCGTCGCCTAATCCGTCCTCCCTTGTGGTTGCACCCCCCCCCGCTGTCTGACTACCTTCGTGCCACCCGTCCTCTTGTTCCTCGGGTCCTTGCCTCTCTCGTTACCGACCCGTCTGTTCCGGTCTCGTGCCTTGACGCTCTTGTCGCTGCTGTCGCTGACTTCGCCTCTACCCGCCGCCTTGACTACGCTACTACTCTGGTCTCTGACCCTGCCTGTCCTCCGTCTGTCGGGGGTGCTCCTGCCCTTGGCAGTGACGTCCTGGAGGACCGCCAGTTCGAGCTTGCTTTCCTGTCCGAGGCTGCTCCCCATCTCTGTTCCATGCTGCTAGTCCCTGAGGGTGACCCAGACGCTTTCGACATCCCGACCCCTCGCACTTACGCTGAGGCGACTTCGGGACCCTGGGCCTCGCAGTGGATAGCTGCCATGGAGCAGGAGATGGCATCTTGGAGATCCACCGGCACCTTCGTCGACGCAGTTCCCCCACCTGGGGTGAACGTAGTCGATGGCCGCTGGCTCTTCAAGGTGAAGCGCCCTCCTGGAGAGCCGCCTGTCTTCAAGGCGCGCTATGTGGCTAGAGGCTTCAGTCAGCGCGAGGGGGTGGACTTCTTCCAGACTTTCGCTCCGACCCCGAAGATGACTACTCTTCGGGTTCTGTTACACCTAGCTGCTCAGCGTGACTACGAGCTTCACTCCCTCGACTTCTCCACTGCCTTCCTTCAGGGCAGCCTACACGAGCAGGTCTACCTGCGCCGCCCTCCGGGCTTTACTGGCACCTTCCCTCCTGGGACCCAGTGGCTCCTGCGGCGCCCCGTCTACGGCCTGCGCCAGGCTCCCCGTGAGTGGCACGACACTCTGCGTACTACGCTTGCTGACCTGCAGTTCTTTCCGTCTTCTGCAGACCCTTCACTCTTCGTTCGTGCTGGCCAGACTCCGTTCTACATCCTCGTTTACGTCGATGACCTGGTCTTTGCCACAGCAGACAGGGACGCGCTGGCCTCCGTGAAGGCAGAGCTGCTGAAGAGACACACCTGCACTGACCTTGGAGAACTGCGCCGTTACCTTGGCTTGCAGATCTCCAGGGACAGAGCAGCGCGCACCATCACCCTGACTCAGTCACACTTGGTGCGCCAGGTCCTTCAGAGGTTCAGCCTTCAGTTCTCCTCTGCACAGCCCACCCCTCTGCCTGTAGACCACAGGCTCTCCGCTCCAGTGCCTGAGGAGTTGGTAGAGCCCAGCGGCCCCTACGCAGAGCTGGTGGGTTGCCTCATGTACCTGATGACTTGCACTCACCCAGATCTCGCATACCCTCTCAGCATCCTGGCTCGCTTTGTGGCCACAGGCAGACACCGACCGCAGCACTGGTCTGCCGCTAAGAGGGTTCTGCGTTATCTTGCTAGTACATCGGGCATGGGGTTAGTGCTAAGAGGACGCAGGCCAGTGGTCCTTACTGGGCACACAGACGCTTCGTGGGCAGACGACGCTGAGACACTCCGGTCTACCCAGGGCTACTGCTTCAGCCTTGGCTCAGGTGCCGTCTCGTGGAGAGCTACTCGCTCCTCGTCTGTTGCACAGTCCAGCTGTGAGGCTGAGATCTACGCCGGTGCCATGGCGGCACAGGAGCTCCGCTGGCTGACCTTCTTGCTCACTGACTTAGGTGAGCGGCCTAGCTCTGCCCCGGTCCTGTTCGCTGACAACAGGGCCATGATCCTCCTGTGTCAGGAGCCTCGACTCGAGGGCAGAGCGAAGCACATTCAGCTGCGGTACTTCCTCCTGCGTGAGCTACAGCAGCGACGCCAGGCTCGCGTAGTACACTTGGCCTCAGGTGCCAACACGGCTGATATCTTTACGAAGGCGCTTGCGCCTAAAGATCATCAGCGGCACTGTGTACAGCTTGGCCTAGTTCCTGTAGCCTCTCACTTGCTAGGACCTTGACTTTGTACTGTCCTTTATATGTATACTCAGACTGGACTTGTGTCCTCTCCCAGTGGCTGGACTAGTAGTGCCGCCCGGCTCTTGTGCTTGCCTTGTCTGTACTCCTGACCGGTCGCTCAGACCCTTGCCTCAGAGGTTGGACTAGTAGTGCCGCCCTGAGCTGCTTGTTTAGGGTATTCCCCTATGCAGTCTAGGGGGTGTGTCAAACATGTGTATTTGTCATGTTTGTATAGACTGTATAGAGTCACCTCTTAGAGGATACAAAACTTAGATATATTTGTGTGTACTCTCACATTACTATCATTCAATTCTTATTTTTGATATTTAGACCCTTGACTCAGAGGTTGGACTAGTAGTGCCGCCCTGAGTTGTCGTTTCTCTTATCAGGAACTACACCTATGCTGTCTAGGGGGTGTGTCAAACATATATATAGGTTATGTTCGTATAGACTGTATAGGTTTGTATCTTAGAGGGTACGACACTTAGGCTTATACCCTTGTACGTTTTTCTCTCCACATTCAATCCTACGTTAAGACATCAGACCGATTTGGTCTGATAACGGGAGCCCTGCTGAGAAGAGGTTGCTTGGGAAGAGGCTGGTAGGAACACGCTCTGAGTTGCACAAACTTACACTATCCAAGCACGAACTGTACAAGCATTGAAAACAATTTCGAAGCTGAAAATGCTGAAAAGTCGTTTTGTATCCATCCATGGAACTTTCCCATGGTATCTGCCACAGCAAGCCTAATCTCTTGTGAACCACCAGCGCTCACTTCTCGCGTCAATCCATCTTGCGCCTCTTCCCTCCACCTCCACTTGAACGCCCCAAACAGCACAAGACATCAGCATGTGTCCAGGGTGCGGGGCATCACCTCGTGTCCAGGGTGCGAGCATCACCTTGTGTCCAAGTAGAGCACGGGCACGAAGCCCGCCAGCTTGCCGTCTGCCCCTGGATTGAGCTTCCTGGCATGGTACCAGCCGTCTGCCTCGTACTCGATCTCCACCTCCTCGCCCACACTCAAAGGCAGCTGCACGGGGGGAGGGGGGTAGATAAGTGGGGGGCACATGAGGGGGCAGATGAGAGGGCAGATGAGAGGGCAGATGAGAGGGCAGATGCAAGAGGAGCGGCAGATATTTGAGCAGTGAAGGAGTGCAGCGAGCAGCGAAGGAGTGCAGCGAGCAGCGAAGGAGTGCAGCGAGCAGCGAAGGAGTTCAGCGAGCAGTGAAGGCACTAGCACACACATGCACCCCCACACAAGCAAACAGCTCCTCATGCCCCTCAAACAGGTCCTCATGCCCCTCAAACATTCTCCCCCTCCCATCCTCCGACCCCCCCCTCCCCTCCTCTCCCCCACCCCACCTCGTCCTCGTCGCCTGCAATGAAGGCGTAGAGAGCGCGCCCCCTCTGCTTGGCGCCACTGCCGCCCGCGCGCCTGCGGATCTCCGCCTCGTAGTCGTACCCCTCGTCTTCCTCCTCCTCGCCGCCCTGCGCCCGCCCCGCCTACGCAGCCCCCAGGTGGAAGGCAGGGGCAGGGAGAGAAGGGCACAGATGGGGTGCAGGGCGGGTGGTGGACCGAGATGAGCCAAGGCAAGGGCGTGAGCACGGGCCGAGGGAGATGGAAAAACGGCAGAGACGAGGAGGGAAGCGGAGGGAGGGACTTTGACACAATGTTAGACATGATGAAACACACACACAGCTCAAAGGCTCTGCATGCTCTACGACCCAATTAGGAGTTCGAGCGTGCCTGTGCATTTGTGTGTGTGTGTGCGTGTGTGTGTGTGTGTGTGTGTGTGTGTGTGTGTGTGTGTGTGTGTGTGTGTGTGTGTGTGTGTGAGTGTGCACGGGTTTGCGAGTGTGCGCATGTGCGTGTGAGTTAGTGAGTGCATGGGGCAAGTACTCCAACATGGGAAGGCATGTGTACTCATGTGCACATGACGCGCACATGGCTGTGCATGTGAGCGGATATGGCATAGGCGGAGGCGTGAGTGCATGCACGTACTGCCTGCCCTGCTGATGCTTCCTTCCCCCCCTTGTCCTCCGACAGGCTCTCCTCATCCTGCCAGCACTCAGAGAAACGCCCGCAGCACGGCACAGGTACAACACACGGGGATACAGCACGGGGATACAGCACGGGGATACAGCACGGGGATACAGCACGGGGATACAGCACGGGGATACAGCACGGGGATACAGCACGGGGATACAGCACGGGGATACAGCACGGGGATACAGCACGGGGATACAGCACGGGGATACAGCACGGGGATACAGCACGGGGATACAGCACGGGGATACAGCACGGGGATACAGCACGGGGATACAGCACGGGGATACAGCACGGGGATACAGCACGGGGATACAGCACGGGGATACAGCACGGGGATACAGCACGGGGATACAGCACGGGGATACAGCACGGGGATACAGCACGGGGATACAGCACGGGGATACAGCACGGGGATACAGCACGGGGATACAGCACGGGGATACAGCACGGGGATACAGCACGGGGATACAGCACGGGGATACAAGTTACACAAGAGGATTGAGAAAACATTTGCATACGAGTGCCAAGCAAACCCTGCACACGAAGAGAAACAACAAAGGAGATAAGCGAAATCCACTAGGAACAAAAAGGGCGCAGACAAACAGTGAAGAGAGTGGGAGTGGTAAAAATTGTGGGGGCAGCAAAGAATGTGCGCGCAGAGCAAGAAACGGAAGCAGCAGCGATGAAGCGGTGTGGGGGAAGGTGAGGAAGAAGTGAAGGTGAGGGGGAAATAAAGGTGAGGGGAAAATGAAGGTGAGGGGGAAATGAAGGTGAGGGGGAAATGACGGTGAGGGGGAAATGACGGTGAGGGGAAATGAAGGTGAGGGGGAAATGAAGGTGAGAGGGAAATGACGGTGAGGGGGAAATGACGGTGAGGGGGAAATGACGGTGCGAGGGAAATGACGGTGAGGGGGAAATGACGGTGAGGGGGAAATGACGGTGCGAGGGCACACCCAGCTGCGGATGTTGCCAAACGCCTGCGCTGTGGTGGAGGGGGTGGGCGACGCTGAACCATCCGACACCTCACTCTGATGCCCAAGGGCGGGGGGGGGGGCGGGTTGGAAGATGGGGGAAAGGGGGGAGAGGGGACAAAAGGAGAGGGAGCAAGACAGGAGGACGCAGCATGGGAAGGCGAGCGGGAGAAAGTTTGAAGAGCGGAAAGGGTTGCGTGGAGGGTGGGAGAGGTGGACATGCAGGAGGGTGCCGGGAGAGAGAGCTGGCTTGGCATAGAGGACTATCGGCCCAACAAGGATAGGTGACAGATGGATGGCACCACGGCATGCGACCAGCACCATTGCATGCGACCAGCACCATGGCATGCGACCAGCACCATGGCATGCGACCAGCACCATGGCATGCGACCAGCACCATGGCATGCGACCAGCACCATGGCATGCGACCAGCACCATGGCATGCGACCAGCACCATGGCATGCGACCAGCACCATGGCATGCGACCAGCACCATGGCATGCGACCAGCACCATGGCATGCGACCAGCACCATGGCATGCGGCCAGCACCATGGCATGCGACCAGCACCATGGCATGTGAGTAGCAGACATCACCTCAGCATCGTCGTCCGCCTCCAGCAGCGATGACGCGTACACGTCGTCGAAATTGCTGGCCAGGCCGGCCTCCCCTGCCACCGCGTCAAACGCACTCGCCAGCCCCTCGTAGCGCCGCGGCGTGGCCGGCACCGACACACTCTCGTCCCTGCCGCCTCCTAGTATGTCAGGCACCTGGGCGGCGAGGGGGGGGGGGGGGGGGAGGGAGTGAGAGCAGGGAGGAACAAGTGGAGGCGAGAGAAACGATGAATGCACACCGGATGTGCCTCCTAACCCAGGGTCTCCCCCCCCCCCCTTTCTTCTCCAAGCACCTTGAGGGCCCCGGCTGCAGGGAAGTCGGGCAGCGGCTCGAGCAGGGTGAGCGGCGGGAAGAGCGAGGCGTCCTTGGGCGCGGCGCCCGTGTGGCGCAGCAGCCCCTCCAGACTCGCCCGCAGCTCCGCCTCACTGCGCCCCACCGCCGCCTCCATGCCCCGCCGCACCCGGTACTGCGCCACCAGCCGCGCACTGCAAGGGAAGAGGTGGGGGGGGTGAGGGGGGGTTGGTAGTAAGCATAGATGATTTATAGTACATAAATAGTGCGCGCAAGACGAATGCCCTATGGAACCGAGGGGGAGGCACTTGCCTCATGGGGACGAGGGGGAGGTACTTGCCTCATGGGGCCGAGGGGGAGGTACTTGCCTCATGGGGCCGAGCGGGAGGTACTTGTGGCGCGGCACGAAGCAGAAGAGCAGCGCGAGGTCCATGAGGCGCTCGTGCATGTCGAAGATGCGCTCCAGCTGCTCCTCCTGCCACTCCTCGCCGCTGAACTCATGCAGCCGAATGTCCCTGCACGCACGGGGGCAAGGGGCGGCACGCACAGATGGCATGAAAAGATCCTCATGCTGAAGCCCTGCTCTAGAATTCTCGCTTTTCTCACTCACCACCCACTCTCACTCACCCCATCATGGCATCTCACCGCATCATGGTGTCCTGGCATCTCACCGCATCATGGTGTCCTGGCATCGGTACATCTCATCCAGAACCCGCAGCATGGGCGCTATGATGCCACCCAGCCCCGTGCCACTGGCGCCCCGGTCCTCCCCGTTCGACACGCCCAGCGCCATGCCCCGCACCTGCCGTGCCATACATGCACGCGCGCACATGCCATGCACTCACTGCTGCTCACACATGGCCTGGCAAAGCGCTCCGCAAGGGATGGTGAGGGAGGCAACGGAAGTGGGGGATGTAGTGGGGTGCTGCCGTGCGGGAAGGAGGAGAAACGGACGGCAGAAGCAAGAAGTGGAATGGAGAGAGGAAGCAAGGAGAGGTATGGGGAGGGGAAGTGCGGAAGGCAGGGATGCAAGTGATTGCCTTGCGGGAGGAGCCCCCCCCGTAGAAGAGCGCGTGGAAGAACTCGTAGATCTGCAGGCGGTACGGTTCTCCCGACCGCAGCGCCACCGTCATCAGCGCGTACACCGCCACCACCCGGTCCTGGGGGGGAGAGGGGGGGGGGAAAGAGAGAGATTCCGAGGGGGGGGGAGTGCAGGGGAGGAGAGAGGGGAAGAGACGAAAGGAGGTGAGACGGTTGGACTAGCATAGTGCAGAGAGAGGAGGGAATAACAGACAACCGTGGAAGGACGTGTCCAACCTTCATTCACGACCGCTCCAGCCATGTCGCCAGGGCCGGCCACCGGCTTCACACCAACTAAGACCGCCTGCCCCTCACCTCCCCCCCACTCACCTCCCAGGCGCCGCTGGTGGCGCAGCGCTGCAGGCGCTGCATGGCCTGGGCGAGCGTGGGGTTGCGCACCCCTGCTGCCGCCACCATGCGCTCGGCATCCAGCAGCATCAGCGCCGCACCGGGCGGCGTCGCACTCTCCCACGCGTACTCGCCCGCAGCAAAGTTGGCATTCTCACCCAGAAACCAGATCTGAACCGGGGGGGAGGGGGGTGGGATGAGGACGTGGAAGCAAAGCAAGAGAGAAGGCGAGCGAGGAGGAAGTTGCAGAAGGTGGGAGGAAAACTGCATTGAAGGGGTGTCTGGCGTGGAAGGGAATGTGGCGCAGCAAGCAGTTGGGAGGTCGCATGTGGAAGGCCGAGAGAAGAGAGGTGGGAGGAGGGGATGAGAGCATAGGGACATGGGGCCAGGCGATGGGCAAGCGATGGGCACATACAGCAGCCTGCACGATGCGCTGGAGAGCAATGGCGGAGCGCGGGTGCGAGATGGATGCCAGGCCGACAGCAGCAGTGGCGCCAGGAGAGGAGGGCAGCGTGGGCGGGGGAGGGGGGGGCAGGTCCAGCACCGTGCTGACGGCCTCCAGGGCGAGGTGCTTGCCCTGCGGCCCACAGCCCACCAGACACGTCTGGCGGACGCACATGGGGCAGGGAGGGCGCAGAGGGGGGCGCACAGAGAAAGACGGCATGGTAATCGCCAAGGAGCCTCCGGATGCGCGGAGAAAGTGCGGGAAGGGGGACAGTGCATGGTGTCATGCAGTGGCGGGGACAGTGCATGGTGTCATGCAGTGCCGGGGACAGTGCATGGTGTCATGCAGTGGCGGGGACAGTGCATGGTGTCATGCAGTGGCAGGGACAGTGCATGGTGTCATGCAGTGCCGGGGATGAGGATGGGGGAGCGAGATGGAAAAGGCAGGGCGGGATGGCAGCGGAGGAGCAGGAGGAGCATGCAGGGCACCTTCCAGAGGGCCTGCAGCGTGGTGGTGTCGACTTTGGAGGGCACGCGTGTGACAAAGAGGCTGGCAAGGTCCAGAATGGTGACCGCCATGTCGGGCGTGGCCTGGGAGGGGGAAGGCATGGAGGACATTGGGGCATGGAGGCATGGAGGCATTAAGACATGGAACATGGGGGCATGGCAGCATGGGGGCATGGCAGCATGGGGGCATGGCAGCATGGAGGCATGGCAGCATGGAGGCATGGCAGCATGGAGGCATGGCAGCATGGAGGCATGGCAGCATGGGGACGGGAGTGACCTTGAAGCGCGCGTGCAGGGTGAGCAGGAGGTCGTTGAGCAGCGCAGCGGGCCAGGCGGGGTCGTCCAGCTCGCCCATGAGGGTGGCCTTGAGCTCGTCACTCGCCTCGTACTCACTCTGCATCCAGATCATCGCCTTGATGGCCTGCCACCCACGCACACCCACGCACACCCACGCACACCCATGCACACCCACGCACACCCACGCACACTCATGCACACCCACGCACACCCATCCACACCCATGCAAACCCATGCACACCCACGCACACCCATGCACACCCATGCACACCCATGCACACCCACGCACACCCACGCACACCCACGCACATCCATGTACACCCACGCACACTCATGCACACCCACGCACACCCATCCACACCCATCCACACCCATGCACACCCACGCACACCCATGCACACCCATGCACACCCATGCACACCCATGCACACCCATGCACACCCATGCACACCCATCCACACCCATGCAAACCCATGCACACCCACGCACACCCATGCACACCCATGCACACCCATGCACACCCACGCACACCCATGCACACCCATGCACGCCCACGCACACCCATGCACACCCAACCACACCCACGCACACCCACCCACACCCACGCACACCCATGCACACCCACGCACACCCACGCACACCCACGCGCGGTACACCCACGCACAACCATGTACACCCACGCACACCCACGCACACGCACGCACACCCATGTACACCCACACACACCCATGTACACCCACGCACACCCATGTACACCCATGCACACCCATGCACACCCACGCGCACCCACACACACCCATGTACACCCACGCACACCCATGTACACCCACGCACAAGGCACAAGAAAGGAGAACGCAGAGTCGTTTTCATGAACCAGCATGTTATCACGAACCACCGTTAATTGCTTGATTCCGTGCCACAAGTTACATCCCTGTGCTATGCTGGAAACCTTGATCGACGGCATCTCTGCCTTATGACTTGCCTGGGCGCGCACGTAGACGCACTCGCATGCGACGGTGCAGCGCACCGCCTCCATCACCGCCGCCAGCAGCGAGTCCACCGTCGCCTTCTCCTTGGGCGCCTGCTGCTTGCCCATCGCTGCACCCCCGCCCCACACACACACACCCGCACACACACACACCCGCACACAAATTAAGTGAAATGGAGCAGCCCAGAGAGAGCAGCAGCGGGGGATTGCGCGGGCATGGAAGCGAGGGCTCACCCTGCTGGAAGTCGTTGGCGTCATCCTGCGGCACCTGCGGCGCCTCTGTGAAGAGCCCCAGCGACAGCGCCGCGGCGCGCGCCTTGCCCACCTCCGCCACGGCGCGCAGCGCTGCGTGCAGCATGGGGCGGGACGTGCTGCGCAGCGCGTAGTCCACACGGTGGGCTGCCACCTGGGGGGGGGAGGGGGGGGTGGGTGGGTGATTGGAGAAACGGATAAATGCTTGAATGGAGCGTCCTTCTTTAATTGATGCATTCTCCATAACCTGTGATACTGCTCTTGTACTAGCTGTCGCCTTGAGCACGAGCCTGTCACTTGGAGCACGGCCTCACTCTAAGCCCCGGCGCCCTCAACCTTGAGCAGGAGGTCGTAGGAGGGCGGCACCTTGAGCACGAGGTCATAAGAGGGTGGCACCTTGAGCACGAGGTCGTAGGAGGGCGGCAGCGGCATGGCTTCCTTCTCCTTGGAGCCCCCACCCTTGCCGCCCGCCAGGTCCCGCGCCGCCCCCCGCGTGTCCATCAACGAAGTGGTCAGAATCTGCCACCCGTCTGCCCGCTGCGCTGTGCTGCAGCCAATAAAAAGAGGGAGAGGGAGGGAAGGGGTTGGGGGGGGGGGTGGGGGAGGGGAAGAGTAGACAAGAAGCAGAGAGCAGAGCAGAGCAGAGCAGAGCAGAGCAGAGCAGAGCAGAGCAGAGCAGAGCAGAGCAGAGGCTTCATTGACATTCCAAAAAGGCGTGATGGAGGAAACTGATCTCGCTCAAAAGCAAGCACAAGGCAGAAGAGTGGATTAAGCGTGAGGGGCGCACGTTGGCTCAACTTTAGCGGAGAAGGCGGCGCAGATGCAGCAGATGGCCTCGAGGCACACGCGCACGTTGGCGTCGTAGAGCAGCTGGAAGAGGAACGCCGAGAAGAGCCCGCGGAAATCAGCTCGATCTGCACCCCTTGCCGGGCCAGGCCGGGCCACCATGCATGCACACACACCCACACCACACACACTCAGTTGAGCCCTCCCAACCAACTCAGTACACACAACCGAATGCATCATGCACCATGGACCAATGCAGTAGTTAAGCCGCACGTGAGAGAGCATCAAAGCACGGCACATTAGTACAGCAACCTGCATGCTGTACAAGCAGGCCGCCATTGATTCGGCACCCACTGTTGATTTGGCACCCACCGTAGATCTGCGAGGCGTGGACGAGGGCAGCACAGAGGCGCGCGAGGTAGAGGCGCGCAAACATGTCCGGCGCCCGAATAGCCACCGCCAACGACCCCCCCGCCAGGCGCGCTGTGCAGGCGGGGATAAGGGGCAAGGGGAGAGAGGCAGTGAGAGGAAGGCAGAAAGGAGAGGAAACACGTGCAAGACCCAGGCACAAAGGGAGCGGGGCGGCTGTGGCAGCAAAATCAGAATGGGCTGCCAAGGAACGTGGTGTATAGTGCATGGAAAAAAGGGGGTGTTGATGGCAATGAACGTGATTCCTTGGCCCTGCCGGCATGAAATGATGATGGCGGCAGCACATAGAGCAGAGATGCAAAACGGGGAAGGCGTGACGAGGAGAGGGCGAGACGGGGCGTGAAGAGGAGAGGGCGAGACGGGGCGTGACGACGAGAGGGCGAGACGGGGCTGACAGATGGAGGTGGCGAGGGCGAGCGGGTTGACGAGGGCGACGTCAGCCGCCATGGAGAGCGCGTGGCGCAGACCCACCGCATCCGGACACCCAATGCTGGGCATGGGGCAAGCGGCACATGGCAGAGACAAGCGGCACATGGCAGAGACAAGCGGCACATGACAGAGACAAGCGGCACATGACAGAGACAAGCGGCACATGGCAGAGACAAGCGGCACATGGCAGAGACAAGCGGCGCATGACAGAGACAAGCGGCACATGGCAGAGACAAGCGGCACATGACAGAGACAAGCGGCACATGACAGAGACAAGCGGCACATGACAGAGACAAGCGGCACATGACAGAGACAAGCGGCACATGACAGAGACAAGCGGCACATGGCAGAGACAAGCGGCACATGGCAGAGACAGGGGCAGGGCAGTGAAGAGGAGGACACAGGGAGGAGCAGATGGGTCGAGTAGCAGTGCGAGAAGAGCAGTTGGAATGTTAGTTAGAGGGATGGCAATGAATGGCCTCACACCTAAGAGAAGACACGTCCACTCAGATATGCATGCCATGTTGCATATTGCACCGGTCTGCGACTCTACTCCGAGTGTCTGACCGCTCCGCGCAAAAGTTAGTCTTCTACAAATCTCTTCTCCTTGCCCTTCATCTTTCTGCCCGCACTAGCAGCATCTGCTCTCACGCTCCCCACTGCGCTCTCCCCAGAACGACTCACCCCAGAACGACTCACCCAAGCACGACTCACCCCAGCATGACTCACTCCAGCATGACTCACCCCAGCACGACTCACCCCAGCACGACTCACCCCAGCATGACTCACCCCAGCATGTCTCACACCAGCATGTCTCACCCCAGCATGTCTCACCCCAGCACGACTCACCCCAGCACGACTCACCCCAGCATGTCTCACCCCAGCATGTCTCACCCCAGCATGTCTCACCCCAGAACGACTCACCCCAGCACGACACACCCCAGCATGTCTCACCCCAGCATGTCTCACCCCAGCACGACTCACCCCAGCATGTCTCACCCCAGCATGTCTCACCCCAGCACGACTCACCCCAGCACGACTCACCCCAGCATGTCTCACCCCAGCACGACACACCCCAGCATGTCTCACCCCCACATGTCTCACCCCAGCATGTCTCACTCACCCCAGCATGTCTCACCCCAGCACGACTCACCCCAGCATGTCTCACCCCAGCACGACTCACCCCAGCATGTCTCACCCCAGCACGGCTCACTCCCGCACGACTCACCCCAGCATGTCTCACCCCAGCACGACTCACCCCAGCACGACACACCCCAGCATGCCTCACCCCAGCATGTCTCACCCCAGCACGACTCACCCCAGCATGTCTCACCCCAGCACGACTCACCCCAGCACGACGCGCTCGACGAAGGCGTCGGAGGCGGGGTCCAGCGGCAGGCGGCGCAGCGCGGAGAGCGCTGCCCCAAAGAGGTTGCCCCGCAGCGCCGCGTCCTTGGCCTTGGCGCCGCGCCGCAGCAGCTCCCGCCACCGCCGCCGCTTCTTGCGGTCCTCCGTCACCTGGTGGGGGTGTGGGCGGGGGGGGGCAGGGGGGCAAGGGGCGAGGGGGGAAGGGGAGGAGATGAGAACAAAGGAGAGAGCACACTACAGCCGTGCAACAAGGCAACGGGACAACAGCATGCGCTTGACACGGTGTAGCACAGTAGAAGACGACAAAGCGCTGAGAATGTGGTGGTATGCCTTCAATGATGTAACGCCTATCTGAGAGCTTCAAAATAAAAACCACGGGAGTGGGAAGTAAACTTGAAACATTGCACCATGAATCAAAGAGACTGGTACTACGTCCAGAAGAGTGGAAAGCGAATGACGTGTTGGATAGTGGGACGGTACCGAGTGAAGGATAGAGAGGCAGGTACCCAGTGAAGGATCGAGAGGCAAGTACCAAGTGAAGGATCGAGAGGCAAGTACCGAGTGAAGCATCGAGAGGCAAGTACGGAGTGAAGGGTAGAGAGGCAAGTACCGAGTCGAGGATGGCGAGGATGATGCGGACGAGGGCGGCATAGGCGTCCTCGTCGGCCATGGGCGCACATGCCAGCGCCTTGAGCGCTGCCATGCGCCGCGGGTGAGCTGCGGGGAAAGGGGCACGTGGCAGAGAGAAGGGGTGCAAGCAACGGCAGGATGCAGAGAGGCGTAGCACACTGTGGAAACAACATCACAGGAGCCATTGAAAAGCAGAGAAGAAAGCAACCAGATTGGAGTGAGAGACCAATTGCATTGCATCCCATCCCAGAGACATCGGTTGCATACCAGCGACATCGGTTGCATCCCAGCGACATCGATTGCATACCAGCGACATCGGTTGCATACCAACCAGCGACATCGATTGCATACCAGCGACATCGGTTGCATACCAGCGACATCGATTGCATACCAGCGACATCGGTTGCATACCAGCGACATCGGTTGCATACCAACCAGCGACATCGATTGCATACCAGCGACATCGGTTGTGGATGCTTCAGTGGCAAGACGAGAGAGTATGAGAGATAAAAGCTCTGCTCGCGTGGCGGCTTGTGCTCCATCTGCCATCGCCATGCACCATGCAACGCCGCCCTCATTGCATAGCACCACGCACATGCATGCAGCATGATGAACATGCACACAGCACATCACACATGCATACAGCACATCGCACATGCATGCAGCACAATGCACAAACCAGAAACTGTTTGAGTGTAGGAGAAAGTGCAGCAAGCATCATCAGGAGCAGTGTGAGCCGAGCAGGCTTGACTGCCGAAAGTGTGGCAGCGGATGGCCTACTGTAGCCGTGGACGGCATCTAGCGCCAGCGAGCGACAGCACACCTGCAGAGGCGTCGGCCAAGGTGTCCCAGTTGGGAGTTGGCACGCCCCCGCCCTCATTGTAGCTGGCTGCGGCGGCGCTCTCTGTGAGGATGCGCGCGAGGAAGTAGTAGCAGTAGCGCAGCACTGCCACGTCGGACGACCCTTGCAGCAGCTGCTCCCACCGCACCGCCCGTGCCACGCCAGGGGTGGCAACCACACCATGCCATGCCAAAGAGCGCAGCCAAGCTCGCCATGCCATGGGATACACCAGCATGCCATGACAGGATCACATCAAACACGCCATCACAAGGACACGTCGACATGCCATGACAGGGACACGTCGACATGCCATGACAGGGACACGTCGACATGCCATGACAGGGACACGTCGACATGCCATGACAGGGACACGTCAGCATGCCAGGAAAGGGTCACATCAACATGGCATGGAAATTCAGAGTGTGCGCCACGCCATAGACAGTTGGCATTTCAGGGCTGGGAAGTGAAGAGCCGAAGCTCACGGCGCCGGAAGGGCAGAGTTGGAGTTTCAGGGTGCAAAGAGGCAGCACGAGCAGCAGGAGCGGCTCACCAGCAGCAAAGCTGTGGCGAGGGAGGGGTCAACGGAGTTGTAGACCGCAAGCTTTGGGAACACGAGAGCTATCAGCTGCTGCCTCTTCTTCTGCTCCTCGCAAAACAAATCAAAGAACCGGAGATACCAGGGGGCACATGGGAGACAAGCGTTTAGGAAGGAAAAAAATTCCCTGAATAATACTAGTAACCAGAAACAGCACCTATGGTGCATGGGGAGGGGAGGGCGATGGCATGTGCTGGATACCATGAATGAAGGGCGCGTAGCTGACAGCGGGCAGGAGCCAAGCAGCGGGCTTGCAAAGAAACCGTTGTGTCCGCAAACAGGGCATGCTATACAAAGGAAAGCCGGATGTCTCGTCATGAGCGTGCACGGGATGAAGCAAGCACAGCGCACAGCGCCATACAGTTGTCATCAAGGCACCTGCCGCGGTGCTCCCTGCATATAGGCTAACGCTAGCGGCCCTGCCTCACCTGATCCGCCAACCCGCCCCTGCCTCACCTGGTCCGTGGATCCGGCTGCTTCCTTGAGGCTCCTGGCGAGTTGGCCGTACGACACGAGCTGACGCACGCAGGGGGGGAGGAGAGAGGAAGGGGCAGAGGAGGAGTGAGAGCGCTAGCCAGAAGCGATGGAGGAGTTGGAGGAAGAGATCAAGGCAGCAGGGCGAGGCTGGGTACAGAGCATGGTGGCACGGGCGTAGTAGCGCCTCCTGTGGCTGCTGCCGCCCTCGTCAACACGCGTCTCAGCACGCGCATACATCGTAGCCTTATCCCTTATGCGATCTTAGCCTCGCCCCACATGTGTCTTAGCCACGTCCGGCATGCGTCTTATCATCGTCTTATCATCGTCGCGCATGCTTGCATGCTTGGTATCACCAGCCAGCCTGCGTCTTATCATCGTCCTACATGCTTCTTCGCCGCATGCACGGCAACCGCCGCTGGTTGCTCCGCGGAGTTCAGTGCGCGCTCCGTGGTGCCAACAGCAGGCGTGCCCGCCTTCTTCCCGCGCAGCGGATTGCGCCGGCCGGCCGCCGTGAAGCCTATACCCGTCAAGCCCGTTGACGTCAAGCCCGCGCGCCCCGCCCCCCCTCCAGAAAAACTGCCTTCCGCCGCAGAGGAGGAGGCGGCGGGGATAGAGTCGGTCAGTAAATCAGCGGGTGGAGCTGCCATGTCGCAGGGTCATACGAGAGCAGTGTGCGACTCGTCTGATCCCGTCTGCTGGATACACAGGTTTCATCTTCCAAATTCCAGAGCCCCAAACAGATCCCCTTCATAAGCTTACCAGATCCCTCTAGTAAGCTAACATTTATGCTCCGTATTTTCTCATATGTGGAAAGAGCATGGTGCACTGAGAGGGCTTCAGATTGGATTTTGAGGGGCTGTTGGCTCAGGATGCCCCCAGAAGGAGCCCCCGTTTTTTAGGGTCGGGTTTTGGAAGTTGCAATTTTTTTTCAGGGTAATTTTTTTCGAAGGCTGAATAATCAGGACTGAAATATTTCAGAGCTGAGATGATAGGCGAATCAGGGGTATTTGCGAATCAGGTCCGCTAAATCCGGAGGAGCGGCTTTGCACAGCTTCGCGATATCTTCGACTATTGTCGTCGACGTCACCTCGCGAAGATCAACGGCGTACGATGCAGCTCCCGCTTTTATCGCGCGCTTGAAAGTTATCGCATGGACTTGGGTGCTTCGCATGCGAGCCCCGTCCATTTCAGTAGCTCGCAGGGTATCCCATCGAATTTTATGCTGCAGCCGCCCGTCGTCCAGTCGATCTTCGGGTTGTACTGTCGCAGCCAATCCCGTCCCAGCAGCACGTCGCACCCATCGAGTGTAGTCGCTAGCAGCCCCATCTGAAATTTTACGTGCTCACCGCAATGAAAACTGGTGTTCTCCACTCGCTCCCGTATAGCCAGCGGTGTTCCATCCACTAGTCGAGTGTCAATTTCGGGTAGACACTTGAGTAAGAGGATACCCAATTTTTTTGCCCTGTCTAGCTGTATGAGACTGTGACTCGCGCCTCCATCTACGAAAATCTTCAGCAACACTCCGTTAACTTTACCCTCCACCAATACAGCGTGATCAGCAGTTTCATCCCCCTTCTTCGTCCGGGTCCGGTCGATTGCAGCAATCGGGATCACGACCCGGTGGGGACTGTGTGGCTCGGGCGAAGAAGCCTGCCTGTCAGTAAGGGGCCCGTTACTTACTTACGTGACCCATTTCCTGGTCGCTCCTCCGGCTTCTTCCTCATAGAATTTTGGATGCCTAAGAATTCTTGGCAGTTGCGTCGGATGTGACCCGGTCGGCCACAGTGGTAGCATAGCCCCGTATTTCGCGGAGCAACTGCGTAAATATCCACTGCGTCTACCCCCTTTATCGTGGCACGCTGGTACCGTTCTCGAGGGCGACCTCCGTCATAGAAGTTCGTCCTCGGCTTCGTGAGCGAATTAGCGGCTTCGACGAGCTGGATGAAGACTTGTAACTGCTTCGCAGGGCGTTGCAGTTTTATCTGGTACTGTATTTCAGGCTTTAGCCCGCCCATGTACGTGTCGACCTTCTCCAACTCGTGCATGTAGCCACATCTGTCCACCAACGTCAAGAATAACGCGGTGTACTCGGACACAGATCCCAGCTGCTTCCACATGCGTAGAGTCTCGCGCGCCTTGTCTGAGTCAGGAGCATGCTCAAACCGCTTGCGAAGCTCCGCGTACCACGTTGCCCACGTGCGAATGTGGGTCGCACCAAATAGCAAGTCTGCCTCGTCTTCGTCGCCGAATTCTTCGGACCACTCGTGCTGTCCTTCTGTGCGAGTTGCCGCTGAGTCGACGATGACTTTCTACCACTATAGGGCGACCCCTTGGAACAGTGTTAACGCGTGGTTGATCCGCTTCTGATCGTCTCGGATGCCCGCCGCGTTAAAATAGATATTCATGGCGAATATCCACTGCCGCATCGTCACGCCTTTATTAGCTGGGTCGAAAGGAGCGGGTTGCTGATATCTCATGCTGCCACTTGTCGAGCGCGTGCCTGTTGCCGCTTGTCGTGCCAGCTCCACTGGCGACGGTTGCTGCTCACTCGCCTCGCTTCGTGCATCGTCGCCCAGCTCCTCTGAACGCCTCTCCTGCGCCTGGCGAAGTCGTTGGTTCTCGTCGCGGAGGTTGTTGACGACGCTTGTCGAATTATTCAACTGCTCCATTAATGCTTGCAAGTCCACAGTTTCCCGGGCAGAGTTCGCAGCAATCGAGGTCGTCTGTTCCTCAACCATCGAATCTACCAGGGCCATGGCGGTTAGGACGCGGCAGAAGCTAGCGCACACGCTGTAGTTGTTGATGTAAAAATATTTACGATCGAAGACAACTACTGTGCAGCCGTGCTAATCCCCTTTGACCACCCTTAACTAATTAAACGGGAAAACGGAAGGTTCCTGGAAAGCTCAGGATTCGATACCAGCAGTTATGATATAGGGAGTGTCAATGTACTATAACGTGCGAATACAAGGTCCCTATTGCAAAGAAGGCACGGGGTTATCTAGGGGTTGGCGTGCTAGGGCGATAATCTCGGAACGTGGGTAGGTTCGGCAATGTGGCGACAGTGCCGGACGCGACTCGGGAAAGGGTTGGGCCGATAAATGAGGCCGAACGTGACGAGTCGAGGAGTTCGGGTGTACGTGCTAGCGTACGACTCAGTAAGGAATGGAAATTCCTTACACCTGGAGGTTGCGTGGCAGCTCGGCTGCACAGTAACCGCTACTGTAAGGCATCGAGTTGCTATACGCTCGGTAGCGCAACAGCTGTCAACATATCTTTTGTATATGTTATAGGTTAGATACTGTAGGTGTATGCTCATATAGACTACAACACCTTAGGTCATATTCCCTTGTACCCCATCATTCTATTCAACTTATTACTTTGAAATAGTATCACACTAGGTTAGGATCCCGCCCACCTACGCTTCCACCCTCGTCCTAGCCCTAGCCCAAGCCGCCCGTCGCCAGCCGCCCGTCGCCAGCCGCCCATTCCCAACGCGCGTCGATCGCAGCCCGCTGGCCGCCTATCGCCGCTGGCCACCCGTAGCTGCTAGCCTACAGGTCGCCCTTAGCCGCCAGCTGCCCGCTGCCCGCCGCCCGTCGCTGCTGCCTGTCGCCGCCAGCTGCTCGTAGCTCGTTGGCCGCCTGTCGCCGCCGATAGCCGCTGGCCGCCCATCCCCGCTAGCCGCCCGTTGCCGCCAGCCCGCCCGTAGCCGCTGGCCCGCCTGTAGCCGCCCGCTCGTCGCCGCCTGATGACCGCAACCGCCACCGCTATCCACCGCACTTCACCGCTCTCCACCGCACTCCACCGCACTCCACTGTACTCCACCGCTCTCCATTGCCCTCCTCCGCTTTCTCTCCTCCCCTTGTTGGCGGCAATCAGCTGCTGCAATTGTAGTGATGGCGGACTCTCTGCTCCGCCTGGATGCGGAGTGTCGGGCCGTTGAGTTTGAAGCGTGGCTCGTCGACCTCCGCCGCCAGCTGACTGGGCAGCGCCAGGACGGCCACTCCCTGGCCCTCCATGTCGACGGTAAGCTCCCTCGCCCCGCCCCGCCTGCTGCCCTCCCTGATGCCCCCACGTCTGCTGAGCATGAGGATTTTGTTGCTGCTGAGCTTGCCTGCGCTGTCTGAGATTCGCGCGACGCCGTTGCTCAGCTTGCCATTAGTCACGCCCTCCCCCTGTCTGAGCATCCCGGCTTTACCGCTGTCTCAAATGCCAGTGTCGCTGACCTTGCCACTCACCTCCGCACACTGGAGACTAGCTACCGCGCCGCTAGCACTGAGGCACAGCTCACTGCCTTCCCGTCGCCGCTTTGCGCTACCCATTATCTCATTGCCACGCGCCTGCCTGACCGCCTAGCCACTGCTCGCGGCCACTTCCTTCGTCAGCACCCAGGTGATCTCACCCTCACTGCCTTTGTCACTGCCCTTTCCACGATGGAGACCTACCAACGCACTATCGCTCAGTCTAGCGGTACTGCGCCTATCCATATCTTCCAGGGCTCCCTCCTAGTGCACTTACTTGGACGTTTCTGCCGCTATCGCTGAGACAGCCCCTGTTGCTAAGACCGCCGCTGCGGCCTCAGCGCAGCAGCGTTCGGGTAAGGGCCGCCGCCCCAAGGAGGCGCGTGGTGGAGGGAAGGGTGGTGGGGGGAGGTTGAGGTGGGGGCAGGGATAGTGGTGCAGACGAGGGGACTGGAGCTGGTGCCTGGAGTAGTAGCAGCAGCAGAAACCTTAGCAGCAGCAGCAGCAGCCGCCTCAGCAGCAGCCTCAGCAGCAGCAGTCGCAGCAGCAGCAGCAACCACCATGGGGACCCCCGCCGCCGTGGTGGCTTGGTGGCACCGGTGGTGGTGGTCTTGGTGGTGCGCCGCGCATCTCGATGTCGGGTGGCAGCTCCAATGTGGTCACGTGCCAGTACCAGCATCAGACCGGCCCCCGCCCGGCATCATCTGCGACCGTCCCGGTCACACCGCCGCCTCGACGACCTCTTCCGTCTCTGCTTTAGTCCCACATCAAACCCTCTAGACCGGTACGCCCTAACGCGCCGCCGTGTGCCTGTCTTTGAGATGGACATGGATCATATTAGGTCTGCTATGTATGTCATGTATGCTGAGTAGGTGCGACAAAGGTAGGAAGATCATGTGCTTTTATGGGAAAATGCTCACAAAACTCGTACTTGGGGCAAAAGTTAAAACGCCATAGCTCCCAAACCATTTGGATTTTGGACCTGAGGGTCAAGCTGCATGCTCTGAGACCATGCACTAACTAGCCATGTGAAAAAAAGGGCTTAGGGCAGGTTGAGTAATGCGACAAAGGTTGGCAGCCGCCCCTAGTTGCCAGGAGGGGCCTTGCAGCCGCACTAGCTGCCAGGAGCTGCCTTGCAGCTGCCCCTAGCTGCCAGGAGGTGCCTAGCAGCTGGACCTAGCTGCGAGGAAGTTCCTTGCACCCCCTCTAGCTGCCAGGAGGTGCGTTGCAGCCGCACCTAGCTGTCAGGAGGTGCCTCACAGCCGCCCCTAGCCGCCATGAGTTGCTTGGCAGCTGCCAACAGCTGCCACGTGGTGCCTGGTAGCCGCCCCTAGCTGCCAGGAGGTGCCTGGCAGCCGTCCCTAGCTGCCAGGAGGTGCCTTGCATCCGCCCCAAGCAGCCAAGAGGTCTATGGTAGCCGCCCATAGCTTCTAGGAGGTGCCTTGCAGCTGCCCCTAGCTGCCAAGAGGTGCCTTGCAGCGGCCCCTGTTATAATCACAACAGGCTCAGATGTGCCTTAAATGAGAAATTGTGCACAGTCAGAATTCCGTCAGACAGCTTCAAATGTTGATGCTGATCTGATATGTGCCTCAAACTATGATCTGTAAATTGGATCTGAAGCGCGTTGCTGTCCCCTATCATAAGCAAATTGAATCATAAAATTCCATGAAGATTTGACGACGCTATGGCGGTTTGACTGGCAGGAGGTACAGCAGCCACTATAGTCTTAGGAGTACAAAAAAAACTTAGGAAGAAGAATTCGAGATGGAGATGGTTCGCAGCCTCTACATACCCCAAGAGCCAAGGTCCAGGTTGGTGGTACACCACCACAGAGTCCCCAACCATGAAGAGTCTCGAAACAAACCCTCCAAGGGGCTACACCAAGTGCAATGTAACACTACACGAAGTAGCGTTACTATTTTCACTATTTAATATTGATCCGTGTCCCTTGGGCTTGAAATCTTGAGCTCTTGGTCTTGGTTTTGCAAGATAAATTCTTCTTGAGTTGATGGGGGCTTGCTGCACACACCTGCGATGCGATGGACACTTCACACTCGACAAAATAGAAAAAACACATGCGACACGCAAACGACGACTTGACATGCGAGTTGTAAAAACTCACTAATGTCTTGACCGACACAAACCACATTGTGATACACCATTCAAACACACACACAAGCACTAGATAGCAATGACATAGACTCACAATTCATTCCATGCCATGCATGCACACACACAAACAAGGACGACAAGCCGAGTGCAAGCCATAGGGTTGCACCATCAAACTCCCCCTCGGATTGTTGGCCTTAGAATCTGCTCCCCTTAGTTCAGAGCCATCCCAGCAAGCTTGCAACACTTCCAATGCTGCTGCTCAAGCAGCCTCTTGGTCATCATATCAGCAGGTTGTGCCGTCGTCTTCACGTAGTGCAACTCGACTTCACCCGAGGTTACCATGCTCCTCACCCAATGCCACTTCACCTTCATATGCTTAGTAAGGCCATGAAGAACCGGGTTCTTAGCCAATGCAATAGCACCCTGGCTATCACAATAGAGTGGGGTAGGTCCTTGCTGCTCCTCCCCCAATTCAGCTAGCAAACGCCGCTGCCACACAACCTCCCTTATGGCACGGAAGAGTGCCATGTACTCGGACTCCACCGAGCTCAATGCTTGGTCCACTTGCTTCTTGCTCTCCCAAGCTATTGGGCCTCCACCAACAGAGCAGATGAAGCCTCCCACAATTGTCATATCCTCTGGTTCTGATGCCCAAGATGCATCAGAGAAGGCGGTGAGAAAGAGCCTCCCAGGTTCGACTCCATCCGCACCCTTTTGACGCCTTTGTGCCGACGCGGAGTATTGCAGTCCAACAGTTGCTGTTTGGCCAAGGTACTTGGCCACCCTCTCTCCAGCTGCTACCTGCTCTTCATTAGGGCATTGGACAACCCTAGCCAGCTGCCCGGTAGCAAAGGCTGCATCCGGCCTTGTGTGAACGGCCGCATACATGAGGCTGCCCACCATGGAGTGAAAACGCCACCTCTCCTCTTCACCAACACTTTCCTCCGCTGGTCCTTTCACACACTTGAATCTTGAGGGAAGAGGAGTAGCCACATGACCTTCACTCTTCCCAAAGTTTGCAGCCAAGGCCTCTAAGTACTTCTTTTGATGCACTCGCATCCACCGCTTCTCCACATCTCGCTCAATGTGAAGCCCAAGGTAGTAGTTGACGTCACCAAGGGTCTTGCACTTGAACTTGTCTTGAAGCTTCAGCATCACCTCCTTCACAAGGTCAGAGGAGGGTGAGAATATGAGGATGTCATCCACATAAACCACCATGAAGCTCCTCTGCTCCCCCTCGGCAAGCATGAACAAGGATTGATCGGCCGTTGAGGGAATGAAGCCGATCGCCTCCAAGACTTCCCGCAGCTTGATGTACCATTGCCTAGGGGCTTGCTTGAGGCCATAGAGTGCTTTCTTCAGCTTCCACACTCTGCCACTCCCATCATTGTACCCCTCTGGCTGCTCCATGTAGGTCACTTCCTCCAAAACGCCGTTGAGGAAGGCCGTTACAATGTCCATTTGCTTCACCACCCATCCTTTGATGGCCGCCGCGGCGAAGAGAGTTCGAAGGGTTGTACCCTTCACCACAGGAGCATATACTTCATTGTAGTCCTTCTTCTCTTGCTGCTGGTACCCCTTGGCTACAAGTCTGCTCTTGTAGCGCTCAATGTTGCCGTCGGCGTCGGTCTTGCGCTTGAAGAGCCACTTGGAAGAAATCGCCTTACGCCCCGGAGGTAGGTTCACCAAGTCAAACGTGTCGTTCTCGATGATGCTCCCCATTTATTCATCTGAGGCCTTCTTCCACTCCTTCCCATTGGGGCCCTCCCAAGCCTCCTTGGGATTTGTAGCCTCCCCCGGCATCTCCACCGGAGAGAAGAAGGCAAAAGCGCACTCCTCGCTTTCATCTTCCGCATCATCACCTAGCATGAGAGCCGAACCGGTCAAGGTTGAGTTGGCTGGTCCTCCAAGCCGTTCATAGCTCAACCTATGGGGGGGCTGAGTCTTCCTTCTCCCCCTTCCTTTCTCCTCTGCTGCAGGGACTTGAATGCTTCCATGGCTTTGCGGTAAATCCGGTCGGTTCCCGCGAGCACTTGTAGCACGAGGCGGAAGTGGCGGTGCACGCTCATTACCTTGCTGCACCTCCTCCTCCTCCTCATCCCCATTCATTTGGGGAGATTGCCTCGTGGTTGTGCTGCTGCTACTCAGCTCCAAGGGCAGCTCCACATGCTCCAAGCCGGTCCTCTTCACCTCTCGAAGCCGCACACGAATCTTCGCTTGGTTCTCCGCCTTCCATTCCTTGTACGGTAAGTTCTCCATGAACTTGCAATCTCTGCTCACCAGGAAATTCTTGGTAAATGGGTCCCATAGAAGCCATCCCTTGCTGTTTTGGGCCATGCCCAGGTGCACGGCCCATGTTGCCTTGGCATCAAGCTTGTTGTGCCGAAGTTTCTTAGGCACAAGTGCCATGCACATGCACCCGAAGACCCGAAGCATATCCACCTTCGGCTTCCTTCCAATCCACTCCACATAGGGCACCCATTTGTCTTCTCCCATATGAGTCAAGGCTCTGTTCTTGGCCACACAAGCATGTCGCACCGCATCCGGCCAAAAGTAATTGGGAAGACCGGCTTCAATGAGAAGTCCCCGAGCCATCTCCGTGAGTGTCCGATTCGCACGCTCGGCGATGCCGTTCATTGCAAGAGAGTAGGGCATGGTAAGAGAGTGCCTTATGCCCTGCTTCTTCAGCCAAGTTGAGAAATCCTTGCTCAGGAACTCTCCCCCACGGTCAGTGCGAATCGCCTTCACAAGTTGGTCTTGTTGCCGCTCCACCATCGGCAACCAATCGGTCTTCACCGTTTCAGCTACGTCACTCTTCTTGGGCAGCACATACACCCAGGTCATGCGAGTGTAGACGTCCACAATGGTGAGGAAGTACTCAGCTCCAGCAGCTCCAAGCTTCAAGGGGCCCACCACATCCATCACCACCTCATCAAGTGGTGCCTTCGCCGTTGTCTCCGAGCTATGGAACGGGTAGCGGGTGAACTTGGCTTGCATGCATGTTGGGCAGCCAAGCACCTCATTGGGCTCCCCCTTGACACGTATCCCACTCTCCATCTCTTGCTTAACAATCTGCTGCAAAATGGGCAATGCCACATGCCCCATTCACCGATGCAAGGTCAGCCAATCACACTCTCCCGTAGCGGAAGTCGGGTTGGAGAAAGCGGCACTCGCAATTGTGCCCCGCAAGCTCTCTCCTTTCTCCTTCGCCGCTGCTGCTTTGTTGATCTTAGGCTTCTCCTCCTCATTTCCACCACCTTTGGCTGCTGCACCATTCTCCTTGGGTTCACACGCCTTGCTGGTCTCTCCAAGGTTGCACTCCTTCGAGTCACTCTTGGTGTCACTTTGCTTTCCGTGATCACCGTCACCAACCGCTTCACGCTTGGTGCTGACGCTTGCTGCCAATTGCCTCCACTTAGGCATGGGGACCACTGGGATTTGCCACATCTCATTGTAGATGTCCCTGTCCTCATGAAGGTCCCAAAGCTTCCGCTCACCAAGCCTCGCGGTATAGGTTTTGGATCCCTTGGAAGATGTGTCCATGCCGGCCTTTTGCAAACGCCGAACGGAAATCAGGTTGGCTGCTAGGTTGGGCACCAAAAGCACGTTCTTGAGGCCCACCATCTTCCCATCAGCGCCCTTGAACATGGCCTTGCCCATGCCTTTCACCTCTGCTCGCTGCCCCAAAGCCGATGTAACATGCTTGACCGGCGACGGTTCGAGTTCGGTGAGCAAGTCCGCACGAGATGTCATGCTATAGGTGGCGCCGCTATCGATCACCCAAAAGTCCAGAGAGTGAAGGGTGACCTTTCCCACAGTAGCTGTCTCCTCAAAGCCTTCCACACCTCCTGCTTCAGCTGCCGCTTGCATGGAGACAAAGAAGAATTGGCCCGGGTATCGATGTTCACTCGAGTCCTTGTCGTAGTCTCCACCTTTCATGCTTGCCGCTTCGCTTCCACGACCACCACGGCCTCCACGACCTCTGCCTCTTCCTCCCCTTGCTCCTCTGCCCTCTTGGCCTTGAGAAGGGGTCCATCCATCAGGCAATCTGAAGCAATCTCTCCACATGTGGCCGGTCTTGTGACAAAAGTGGCATTCGCCATCAAATCGACCGCGCCCACGCCCGTAGCCATTGTTGTTGTTGTTGCTGCCATATCCTCCATTACCACGGCCTCCATTGAAGTTACTGCTGCCAAATCTTCCTCCTCGCCCTCTGCCCCTTCCACGGCCGTGCCCACGGCCCATGCTTGCAACTCCGGCACCATCGGGACCCGCCAATTCGCGACGGCGGAAATCTTCTTGTAAGATTTCCCGCTTCACATCTTCGAGTGAGAGACGGGGCAGATCTTGATTAAGGTTGATGATGAGCGAGGACCATGAGTCCGGAAGTAAGGCCAGCAGCTTGGTCTTCTTTTGAAGGTCACTGTAGTTCAGATCAGCTCCTTCAAGCCGTGTCAACAAGTCGAAGAATTTCTGCACTCCTTCCTCCACCGGTTCGCCTTCGTCAATTCGAAGTGCCGCCTTTGCCGCTCCAAAACCACAGCCACCGCCGCTGTTGCGGGAGCGTGTACACCCTTGAGAGCAGCCCATGCCTTTGGTCCCTTTGCTGGTTCACGCTGAAAAGGCTTGATGTGACGGATTTGGCTGCTCCCCAACGCTTGCCCAAGTAGAAGGTAGCCTTGTGCGCTCTTCCGCACCCACGGGCTCTTCTCCGGGTCGTTCTCGGGGCGCTTCTCCGTTCCTTCCATCACCTCCAGCAGATCATAGTGGTCAAAGATGTTCTCCATCTTGAATGACCACTCAGCAAAGTTGTCACCGTTGAACTTGTCAAGGCCAAACACTCTAGGCTCATCCCTAGAGGGTCCAAGGCTAGGTTGCACCGGAGCAACGGGTGGATCTTGGTGTTGACCTTGTGCTTGGGCGTCTTCTCTGCCTCCAGCACCTCTGCCACCCCCTTCCTCAGGTCTAGGCATGGTCGAGACGGCTCCAAGGGGCTCTGATACCACTTGTTATAATCACAATAGGCTCAGATGTGCCTAAAATGAGAGAAATTGTGCACAGTCAGAATTCCGTCAGACAGCTTCAAATGTTGATGCTGATCTGATATGTGCCTCAAACTATGATCTGTAAATTGGATCTGGAGCGCGTTGCTGTCGCCTATCCGAAGCAAGTTGAATCATAAAATTCCATGAAGATTTGACGACGCTATGGCGGTTTGACTGGCAGGAGGTACAGCAGCCACTATAGTCTTAGGAGTACAAAAAAAACTTAGGAAGAAGAATTCGAGATGGAGATGGTTCGCAGCCTCTACATACCCCAAGAGCCAAGGTCCAGGTTGGTGGTACACCACCACAGAGTCCCCAACCATGAAGAGTCTCGAAACAAACCCTCCAAGGGGCTACACCAAGTGCAATGTAAAAACACATGCGACACGCAAACGACGACTTGACAAGCGAGTTGTAAAAACTCGCTAATGTCTTGACCGACACAAACCACATTGTGATACACCATTCAAACACACACACAAGCACTAGATAGCAATGACATAGATTCACAATTCATTCCATGCCATGCATGCACACACACAAACAAGGACGACAAGCCGAGTGCAAGCCATAGGGTTGCACCAACAGCCCCTAGCCGCCAGCAGGTGCCTGGCAGCCGCCCCTAGCTGTCATGAGGTGCCTTGCAGCTGCTCACAGCTGCCATGAGGTGCCTTGCAGCTGCCCCTACCTGCCGGGAGGTGCCTGGCAGCTGCCCACAGCTGCCAGGTGGCACCTGGCAGCCGCCCACAGCTGCCACATTCTGCGTGGCAGCCGCCCAAAGCTGCCAGGTGGTGTCTGGCAGCCGCCCCTATCTGCCATGAGGTGCCTTGCAGCTGCCCCTAGCTGCCATGAGGTGCCTTGCAACACTAAGACTGAATAATAGTGGTGTTTAAGCCTAAAACCCAAATTAGTATGGATGACATCCTCATATTCTCACCCTCCTCTTCAAGTGCAAGACCTTTGGTGACGTCAACTACTACCCTCGGCTTCACATTGAGCGAGATGTGGAGAAGCAGTGGATGCGACTACATGAAAAGAAGTACTTGCAGGCCTTGGCTGCAAACAAAGGGAAGAATGAAGGTCATGTGGCAGCTACGGGCAGCTGCCGGGCACCTCCTAGCATCTAGGGGCGGCTACCAGGCACCATCTGGCAGCTGTGGCCAGCTGCCAGGCACCTCCTGGCACGTATGGGCGGCTGCCATGCACCTTCAGGCGTTTAGAGGCAGCTGCAAGGCACGTCTTGGAAGCTAGGGGCGGCTGCAAGGCACCTCCTGGCAGCTAGGGGAGGCTGCCAGGCACATCCTGGCAGCTGTGGGCGGCTGCAAGGAACCTCCTGGAAGCTAGGGGCGCCTGCAAGGCACCACCTGGCAGCTAGGGGGGTGTGCCAGGCACCTCCTGGCAGCTAGGGGCAGCTACCAGGCACCACGTGGCAGCTGTGGGCAGCTGCGAGGCACCTCCTGGCAGGTATGGGCAGCTGCTAGGTACCTCATGGAAGCTAGGGGAGGCTGCGAGGCACCTCCTTGTGGCTAGGGGCAGCAGCCAGGCACCTTCTGGCAGCTGTGGGTGGCTGCATGAGCCTCCTGGCAGCTAGGGATGGCTGCAAGGCACCTCCTAGCAGCTTGGGGCGGCTGCTAGGCACCTCTTGACGGCAAGGGGCGGCTGCCAGGCACCTCCTAGCAGCTGCGGGCGGCTGCAAGGCACCTCGTGGCAGCTAGGGGCGGCTGCCAGGCACCTCGTGGCAGCTAGGGGCAGCTGCCAGACACCTTCTGGCAGCTGTGGGTGGCTGCAAGGCACCTCTTGGCAGCTAGGGATAGCTGCAAGGCACCTCCTGGCAGCTTGGGGCTGCTGCAAGGCACCTTCTGGCGGCTAGGGGCGGCTGTCAGGCACCTCCTAACAGCCGTGGGCGCTGCAAGGCACCTTCTGGCAGCTAGGGGCAGCTGCCAGGCACCTCCTGGCAGCTAGGGGCAGCTGCCAGGCACGTCCTGGCAGCTGTGGGGGGCTGCAAGGCACCTCCTGGCAGCTAGGGATGGCTGCAAGGCACCTCTTGGCAGCTAGGTGTGGCTGCCAAGCACCTCCTAGCAGCTGTGGGCGGCTGCAAGGCACCTCGTGGCAGCTAGGAGCGGCTGCAAGGCACCTCTTGGCAGCTAGGGGTGGCTGCCAGGCACCTCGTGGCAGCTAGGGGCGGCTGCCACGCACCACCTGGCAGCTGTGGGCGGCTGTCAAGCACAACTTGGCAGCTGTGGGCAGCTGCTAGGCACCTCCTGGCAGGTATGGGTGGCTGCAAGTCACCTCCTGGCAGCTAGGGGCGGCTGCCAGGCACCTGATGGCAGCAAGTGGCAGCTGCCAGGCACCTCATGGCAGCTAGTGGCGACTGCCGGGCACCTCCAGGCAGCTAGGAGCAGCTGCAAGGCACCTCGTGGCAGCTAGAGCCGGCTGCCAGGCACCTCCCGACAGCTAGGGGTGGCTGCAAGGCACCTTTTGGCAGCTAGGGGTGGCTGCAAGGCACCTCCTGGCAGATAGGGGTGGCTGCCAGGCACCTCTTGGCAGCTATGGGCGTCTGCCAGCCACGTCCTGGCAGCTGTGGGCGGCTCCAAGGCACCTCCTGGCAGCAAGGGGCGGCTGCAAGGCACCTCCTGGCAGCTAGGGGCGGCTGCAAGGCACCTCTGGGCAGTTAGGGATGGCTGCAAGGCACCTCGTGGCACCTTGGGGCGGCTGCAAGGCACCTCCTGGCGGCTAGGGGCTACTGCCAGGCACCTCCTAGCAGCTGTGGGCGGCTGCAAGGCACCTCTTGGCAGCTAGGGGTGGCTGCAAGGCACCTCCTGGCAGCTAGGGGCGGCTGCCAGGCACCTCCTGGCAGCTAGGGGCGGCTGCCACGCACCACCTGGCAGCTGTGGGCGGCTGCCAGGCACCACCTGGCAGCTGTGGGAAGCTGCAAGGCACCTCCTGGCATCTATGGGCGGCTGCAAATCACCTCTTGGCAGCTATGGGCGGCTGCCAGGCACCTCATGGCAGCTAGTGGCGACTGCTAGGCACCTCCAGGCAGCTAGGAGCAGCTGCAAGGCACGTCCTGGCAGCTGTGGGCGGCTGCAAGGCACCTCACGGCAGCTAGGGGCGGCTGCAAGGCACCTCCTGGCAGCAAGGGGGGGCTGCAAGACACCTCGTGCCAGCTATGGGCGGCTGCAAGGCACCTCGTGGCAGCTAGGGGCGGCTGCGAGGCACCGTCTGGCAGCTAGGGGCAGTTGCCAGGCACCTCCTGGTACCTAGGGGCAGCTGCCAGGCACCTCCTGGCACCTAGGGGCAGCCGCAAGGCACCTCGTAATAGATAGGGGCAGCTTCAAGGCACCTCCTGGCATCTAGGGGGAGCTGCAAGACACCTCGTGGCAACTTGTGGCGGTTGCCAAGTACCTCCTGACAGCTAGGGGCGGTTGCCTAGCACATCCTGGCAGCTAGGGGAAGCAGCAAGACACCGCGTGGCAGCTAGGGGCAGCTGCCAGGCACCTCATGGCAGCTAGTAGCGGCAGCCAGGAACCTCGTGGCAGCTAGGGGCAGCTGCAAGGAAGCTCTTTGCAGCTAGGGGCATCTGCAAGGCACCACCTAGCAGCTAGGGGCAGCTGCTAGGCACCTCTTGGCAAATACGGG